GCCCCCTAGAGTCGGGCATGACTGGACTAAATGTCAAGGGGAACCTTTACCTTTACCTATAGTTCAAATTGTTCTGAGTCACCTTGCATTCTATATGGTGTGAAAGGCAGCATATAAATAATATAACTAAATAGAAACCTAAACCTGATCGTTTACCCATATGACTAAAATTTATGTTACATAATGGATAATCAGACATTCTTGTGCCCATCAAGCTGCAGACAGGTATATATCTAGATCCACATAAATGTCACAAATTAATAGCATTTGGTAGCAACGTACCCTCTAATTTTTAGCCCTGCTGGGCAAGGCTCTGCCTTTCTCACGCATAACTCTGCCCCCCTCCCATGCACGCAGGGTTCCATTGTGACCGAACCAAAAGGGTTGAACATGATTGCTGCGCAGAGGGAGGTAGAGTTGCATGTGCGCACAGTTTAGAAGGAACAGTAATTTTCTAACATTTTAGTTACTAATTTGGAGAAAGTTTCAGTCCCTTCAACATCATATGCAATCAACTGCTAGATAATAAAGGGTTATGTTTATCTCTTAATATACCTATTGAAGCCTAGGTACATAACAATGCAAGGATATATTTTCAATCTAGGAAGCACCTTGATCATCACTCTTATGGAAATGTACACAACTATATCATGCAACTATGCATCACAGAGCAGATTTCACAAAAAAAGGAGGGCATAAATGAATTTTCCTTCGAAAATATTGTGACACAGCATGTGATGTTGAGCAGAGCAGGAGATTCCCTCACTCAGATCATATGGCCTCCATGCAATTGCATGCAGGTGGTTAGATTTAGGGATGAAAAGGTCTCACCACACATGCCGGATTGGTCATACTTACATAGTTTAAAAAAGTGGCCACACGATTCCCAGTCCCTAAATGCTTGAAAACATCAGGTTCATCTTTCTATAAAATTAAATGAAAATAAACTGCAAGCTTTGAGCAGACAGACAAGGACACAGAAGTACTTACATAGTTAAGAAACGTCGCTAGCCTATTTCCTTCTGTTTTGAGTGTGCTGTCAAAGGGTCGCTGAAACAAACAACAGCTTTAACCAAACCTTCTGAATGGGGTTGCAGATTTGTTACTTTTATGTGGTCTAATCCTGTACACATCTATTTGGAAGCAAGTCCCAGCAAGTGGTTCAACGGAGCTTATTGCCAGGTAAGCATGCAAATATTAGAGCCTTAAAGTCCCAAGCTAAATAGTTTGATGCAACTGGTATTGACCAAACATGGGTTGGCTTTCCGATAAAAGAGGAAGAGAACAAATTGGATGTATGGCAGGGAGGGGGAACCTGTGGCCCTCCAGATGTTGCTGGACTACATGGCCTAGTGTCCCTCTCCTTTAGCCACATATCTAGGGCTATGACAGAAGCTAGAGCACAACAACATGTGGAGAGCTACACTTTCCTTTCATCTCTGGCATACGGCTAATTCCTGGCAGAACTGTGACACCGTATTTGGATAAATATTATACAGCCTTCTAGACACTCATTAGAGCTGGCTATGTTCTCTTCATAAATAACAACACGCCAAAGCAACAGCTGTCCTTAGCATCGTATGGGAGTTAACAAATATAAAACAAATGCAGCACAAGAGGTTTCCTCTGAGAGAGATTCTTTTGGATTTTGTTCTTTGGTGGAAGATACTGCTCGCTTTCTGGAAATAAGATGTTATCATGGGGTAACACTGTGACATTCATGACATGGCATTTTGGTGGTCATTAATTCATAGGGTTGCCGTAAGTCAGAAGTAACCTGGCAGCACACAGCAACAATAACAACACTGTGACCTGGTTGCATCACTGATTTAAACCAGACAAGCGCAAGCTTTGGATGGGGCAGTTTTATTCATCCCTGCCCTCAGAAGCTTCAACTGATTTTATGAGGCCTGTAGTACAAACAAAAAATGTCAGCCAGAAGATGCTGTTAATAAGATGCACTGTTACTACAGAGTACTTCTCTGAAGGTGAAAAGCCATAAAGAAAATTGTAGCTTCAGTTTTGTTTTTTAAAGGACACATTTTACAGTGAGTTCACACAGGGTACTGTGTTCATAAAATATTAGTCTATTACTGGCTTTGAGAGGAATGTCTGTGGTCTCCTTCTATTTTTGGCCTGCTCAGGGAACAGCAAATGACACTGCTTATAGGTCCACATCTTTATGGAAGCATCTAAAATCAGCAAAAGCTCATCAAAATGGGGCATACAGAATGACTGTCTCATCCAATCTGCACTGTTACTCCTTCCTCTGGATTTAGGGTCCATGGATTTCATTCCATGCTTTCAAGCATTGCTGCAAGTCTACCTGTGTCCCAAACCCCTGCAGCCGTGGATGCCAAATACATTAAGTTTTGGGTAAGACATCGCACAAATGCAGCCAAAAAAAGAGGAAAGAACTTCAAAGAACTGAAGGGAAAAACTGAAGGGTATGTGGGTAGAAGAACGAGAGAGAAAAAGGATGATTGAACTCAGGGGGAGGTGGTCTAAAAAGGTGAACTCTAGGAATTGCAGAAAGTAAAAGAGGACAGGGGATCACAGACAGTCTTATATGGGACATGAAGTCTTGGAAGTATTGGAGGGGGGGGGTACTGAGAACACCAGGATGGAGAGCAGAAGTGGACAAAGTGTGAACCCAGGCTAGTAGTGAGGAGTGTGAAATTTTGAACACGGCAACATTGCTTTACATTTTCTCTTCTGATAAGCATCAAGTCTGATTGGGACCTTCCTGTTCTGTCTAATATGTCTAATACTAAAGAAATAGTTTTCCATCAAGAAAATCTGCAAGTAAATGTCATTCCCTGATCCTGAGAGCCTCCAGGATTCATGGTGGCTTTACCATAAAAATGGAGTGCAAGGTCTGTCCAACACCCCTCAAAATACATACCTACAAAATGAAACCAGATATGGGCTTCCAGCAACGTGTCAGTTTGATTTTATACCCCTGCCCCCATTTTTGCTCATTTCTGAAGCTCATGAATCCGTTATGAATCCTGAAGATGAGAGCAACTGGAATAATGGGCACACGTAACTTTTAAACTTTTTGAAAAACATTCCATTATTTTAGTTTTTATTTTTATTCTTGTAGAAAACCAGAACTTAAAACATTAACCCTACAATTACAAATATTACACCTCAGAACTGCACAATTAGGTAGTAATTTACACATTTATGACAGTGCTGTCTCCTTAACATGGCAGCAATCAATTTACAAGGAAGCGCAGCTGTGGGTTAAGGGATTCCAGGTTGATTAGAGAGAGAAGGAGAGAATGAGGAGAGCATACTTGTTAGAGATTAAGGAAACAGGGAGTTTAACAGAGATTTTAGAGCATGCGTGAGCAACTACACTACAGCTCCCAGTGTGCCTCACCATTAGCTATGCTGCCTGGAGATCATCCAAATTGCCACTCAGCAACCTCTGTGCCACTCGTCCTTAGAATTTGATACTGCTCAGGAAATCACAGAACAAGCATGCAGCTGTAAAAATGCATGTGCAAACTTTAATACAACAAAGCAACTGGAAACAGATCCATGTTTTAATCTGTGATGCACACAGAGCCTGGAGGACCACTCCAAACTTCTAATAAATTCAACTGCTGACTCTCCTCAACCTTGGCAGTCCACTGAAGCTCCGTTCCAAATGTGGCTCCTCCCCACCCAAATGGTCCAAGACTGAATATCTCGTTGTTAACACAAATCTGTATTAGCAGAGTCATTTCAGATGTACATCAATCTGCTATCAAAGTACAATGGCCCAGTTAGATGACACTCTTGCCTTTTACTTCCCTCCTACTCAAAGATGGGTAATCTCACTTCCCCAGATTGTGGGGGGGGGGGTTGTCTATGTGTACCATCTAGCCCATATCAATGCAATTTGCAATGGAAGCAGTAAGCACATAGCACTACTTTACTTATTTCAATTCAGAATTCCTGTGTGATAAATGAGAAATTGCTTTAGGACAACGTTCAAGAAAACAATGAACATTGCGGTTTTACTTTTGGTTACTCTGATTAAGTTGACACAATAATGAAGCTGATCCAATAGTGCCAGAAGACAGAAATTTAAGCTATGAGAAATAAACCAATACTGGATTATAGCTCTTCTTTACATAACAACTGTTAAGCCTACTTGTTAAAAAAGTTGTTGTAAACCAACAGATCAGAGAATAGTGGAAAAATTATGACACACTAGGTTGCTTAAAAAGAGAAGGAAAATGTTTCTAGAAATTAGTCTATAAAATATGAGAGACTTTATCTGTCTCCTTCTTATTCTGCTGCAATATTTAGGGTAGCACAGCAGGCATCAATTACTAGAAATGTTGTTTCCCCAGAATATACTTGACGTAATCAGGGACTATGCCTCTGTAGATGCTTAAATGCACACATATACCACCTGCATTTTACTGGTTTGCTGCAGGGAATGCTGGTGTGCCTTGAAGTATATTTCCATTAATGGTGTTTACCTTTGAAAAATGCAAACTATCCTCAGTGTTTAACTGTGGAACTACAAAAGAAACCCCATTTAAGTCAAATACCTAATGTGCAGTTGAAAGGCATGTATTCTCTTAGTTTTAGACCCACAAAAAGCATTTTAGAGGGAACATATAGAAGGTCCCAACCAGACTCCCTTGCGGACGTTTGGCTGAAGAGATGGAAAGCACTTTTATCATGTTCAAAATTCCTGCTCTTGAATGCTAGCAGGGGGTGAAGCAATGCCACGATATCATAATATAAATGCAAATTATAATAATTATGTGCTGTCAGGTTGATTCCAATTTATGGTGAACCTTTCCACTCAGAAATGGTTTACCAGTCCTTTCTCCTGATGGGATTGTGCAGGTTGCTGAAGGCTACAAAGTTGGCCCTTCTTGCAAGATGTATTCCAACTCACTGAGCTATCCTGCCAGGATAGCCAAAAACGCATTTCATTAATGGAGCAGCCACATCTTTCTTATGTTCTGAAGAGGTGGTTGTGTTTCAGTATGTAGAACAAAAACAAAACAGAACTGTGGCAGTTACAGGTTTATTACAGAGTGAAGGATTTCACGGACTACAATAGATTTCTAATACATAAAAGTTCTATAAAGGGGCCATAAGATTTTGGGTGTCTGTATGTTTGTTTTGTCTGGGCTTAGACTTCTCTCTCTAAAGTTCTGTGACTGGATATGCCATGAACATACCCATTATCTATCATAAGATCACTATGCTCATTTTATGCAGGCTGGCGTTTAGAGGAAAGTGTGAGCTTCCATGGAGCAAAATCTACTTCCAAAAGCACCCACTAAAATAAAACTGTTACTCTATAAAGTGCTACAATATTGGTTCAACAGAGATGTTTGCCAAAGGTCAACACTGTCCATTTGGGGCCAGATCACCATGGATTCTCTGGCTAGACCTCCCAAACTCATTGTACTTTGTTTAAAAGCATCCATGTAATGGAACACTTTTTGATCAGAGATGAGATGGAGGGAGGGGGAAGAGCTTAACCTCTTCTTTCTGTGCTGCCTTCTTAAAGCCAAGACTTCTCATTGCACTTGTCCCTCCCCATCTGAGGCCAATAACTATGGCAAGGGTGAAATGAGCTTATATGCTTATAACAGTAAAACAGAAACGGAGAATCTTACCCTTGAGAAGTCAAAGTGTGGTTCATACTGCCCTCCCATGCCGTAATTTGCAACCTAAGGTATGAGGGAAAGAAAACTGTTTAGCAACTGCAAGGAAATAGGAGAACTTAAGGAAATAAAAAAAACAAAACATTTCTTTTATGAATTATAAGCAGAAGATAATTCTGCTGAACATTTCAGCTAACATCATGGACCACGAGAAAGCTGGGTGAAAACACAGAGAAGAAAAAAAAATCCTAAGACCCTTTTTCTAAATTTGTAGAAATCATCAGGATCATCATGATTATAATTTGGCTGAAATCCTGTTACCATAACTATGCCCCACGGAAGGCTGATGATGTCATCAGCAGTGGTCAACTTTCAGAAATTGAACATTTCCCCCTCTGATCCTGTGGTTCTGAAAAATATTATGGGAATGGTAGTATAAAAAATCAGGGAAACTGTATGAAGGAGAAATCTGTATTACAGTCCAGAGACTAGACAGTCTTGTCAAAGAGAGAAGTTGCATCACATATGTGTGGTGGGAGGCAGTTCTGAGCAGCAAGGAAAGGGCAGAGATGGAAGGGTGTATTTTTACAAAACGTGCTGTGCCTTTGGTGACAGACTATAAGAGGAAGAAAGGAAAGTGTGTGTGTGTGACAGAGATAAAGATAAAGGGAGCCCTGTCATGCTGTAGGAGGGAATGGTGATACTGTCAATTGATAAGGAGAATTTACAAAGAGAGGAAAATAGACAGGAAATTCAATCTTGGGCACAATGTGTTCAAAATGACAGTGAAGGATTAAAGCAGAAATATCAGCCAACCAGCTGGAACTGTTGGACAGAAACTGGGAGAAATTTCTCTCTAGTGAAATTGGCCTGTTTACAACTGAGATGTTTTTTTATCCTGGACAGATGTCAAAAACAGCAACTGGAAAAGATATGGTCTCCATCCTTTGGTATGTCAGCCGATCCAAGTGTCCAGAGCCTCATGTCTTTGTCCTATTCTGTTTGCCAGAAACTGCAGAGCTGCTTAAATCTGAACTGAGGCGAACCCATCAGATTTAACCAACATGGAAATTTCCTGGTGCTCAAAATCTTTATAGAAGCATAAAGTGGCCATAATTAAAAGTAATGCTTTGTCTACAGGAACACCATGTGCACTGTTGAAGCTTCCTGGAAAGCTTTATCGGCAGCAGTTTCCATGATGTATTAGATTAGATTAGGCATCCTTCAGTCTTGAGAGACTATGGTAACATGTTCTGTATGGAGGACTTGGAACAGCATCTAGTGTGGCTGAGAAGGCCAATTTGAGAGTGACAATCCCTTCCACACTGAAGACAAATACAATCTGTCCTCTGTCCAGCTCCCTGATTTTGCTGGTTTTGGGACTGCCTCTTTGCCTTGGCCTGCTGAACAAGGGTCTCTTCAAACTGGGAAAGGCCATGATGCACCGCCTGCCTCCAGGCTGAACGCTCAGAGGTCAAGGTTTCCCAACTGTTGAAGCCCATTCCTAAGACTTCAGATCCCGCTTGCAGATGTCCTTGTATCACAGCTGTGGTCTCCCACTGGGGCGCTTTCCCTCCACTAATTCTCCATACAGGAGATCTTTTGGAATCCACCCATCAGCCATTCTCACGGCATGCCCAAGCCAACGTAGACGTTGTATATGCTACTGTCAAGTAATGAGGAAAGGAATGTAACCTCTTCTCCTGCCACCCTGCTTTTCAGGCACCTTCTATTTTGTACTTCAAGACACCATAGAATTAACAAGCCACTCAAGCGTTCAGCTTCACAAACTGAAGTGGGGAATATAGCAGCACTTTGGTTTTCCAGGCCTACATAAAGAAAGAACGGCTACTAGTCAGGTATTTTTGTTGTTACCTGCAACAATTCGGCTGTTTTCACTGTCAATCCTGTAATCTGCTCCATACGCTGGTTCACTTTGGCAACAACTTGATCATCAGTTTCCTCCAGCCATGAACTACCAGAAAGTAAGATTTCATTTGGATTTAGAAAAATATTTCTAATCATTGCAAAATCAGATATACATTCCCCAGAGTTTGTCATATATATAGTACAATTTTCAGATTTTGGAAGTTATAGTCAAACTTTTTTGGGGAGGTGTCAATATTTATTTTTATACATTAAAAAAATAAAGCTGCCTTTTAGGACTCAGCCTTTACAAAACGGCTTACATAATAAAAATGTAAAATACGTTGGGTCCTATTGCTGATTTATACAACTAATTGCACTCATCAGTGAGGTGCTGAATGCACTACAAAGTATGGGTGCAATTGGGCATTCAGGAATGCAACCAGCATATCATTAATGTGCATCAATTTTCCACCAAGACTTGCGCAATTTTCCTTACACAAGTATAGATCAGTAACAGGATTCTGTCCATTGTAACACCTGAATCTGAACTTGATCAGAGAGCAACGTAAAAATATTTAAAAGCACAGGCCAGAAAGAATTACATGATATAGCAAAAATGCTAAACAAATTTTGACACTTTTAAGACTTACAGCTGCTATTTGTTTATATTTGGAAATTAGATCTATCAAAAGCTATATAGATACAGAGAGAGAGAAAGAGATTTCTTGAAGTTTTAGTTCTTATAAAAATACTTAGAACTTACTTGAAATAAAAGTTGAATTACTTTTATTTTTGAACAGATTACCTTTTAGATACCCGGTAGTTGGCCACAGTTAGCACACCTGTCTTGGGGTCACGTACGGTAGCTCTTGCTAGCTGTATCAAAGAAAACACAATGTTTAGTAACTGAACTAACCTCAAAAGTGCATCATAAAAATGAGCTAAATCACATGATTCAGTTACAATCTTTGCACTCCTGTATCATGAGTGGTAGGAAACTTTGGTGGACACGAGAACCAGATTTTTGCCCTACGGTGGGCCAAGACCACCATGGAAAATGCCATTTTCTCCCATTCTTTGTGGCAGGGGAGGGAGGAGACACCTAGACAGCTACTTCCAGTTTTACTTTTTGCATTGAGGAGAGAGCTTAGCAGCCCCTCCAAAGTTCCCAGGGCAAAAAAGGCTCTTGCTGGAGGTCTCCAGAAGCAGAAATATGAGGAGAGAGGTTATATTTTTTAAAGCAAGGACCTCTAAGGTAGCTTTGGGAGCTGCAAAAGTGCTGCCAGGAGCCACAAAGAGACAGTGGGTCACATGTTGCCCACCTCACTATATCACATCAAAACCGTGTGTTAAAATGTTATAGTATAGGTAGAGTTTATCCTAAACAACAGGAGTGGCCAAACTACTATCTGCCCCAGCCAACCTAGTCAATTATGAGGAATGGTGGGATTTACAGTCCAACAAATCTGGAAAGCCACTCCTTCCTGCTCCTGCTACACATCATGATAGGGGACAGAGAGTGTTCTCAGCAAAGTTGATCTCATATAAATCTACATATAATAGACTGAAAACTTTTAAACTGCAATGCACCCAAGAGAACGAACCTTTTGCTTTTTATGGTACAGAAACTACATTGCAATTTATACTTCACGTAGCGCAAGTACATACAAATAGTGTACTGTGGGTCAGAAGGACTCTTCTGCATTTAATACTGAATGGATGAGGGACGGCTTGTAGAGAAAGGGCCTTTTCGGCAGCTGCCCCCAGACTATGAAATGCCCTCCCGACTGAGATTCATCTGGCGCCGACGCTGATGACATTTCGGCGCCAGGTCAAAACCTTCCTGTTCCAGAAGGCTTTTAATTGAAATAACATCAACTGTGGGTCCTGATGGCAATTTTAATTGTATTTTAATTATTTTATCTTTTATTGTATTTAATTGAATTTTAATTGTTGTAAGCCGCCCAGAGACCTTTGGGTAGAGTGGGTGGCATATAAGTTAAATAAATGAATAAAATAATAAAATAAATAAAGAAGCAGCTGAAAACACAAGACACTTTTAATTGAAATAACATCAACTGTGGGTCCTGATGGCAATTTTAATTGTATTTTAATTATTTTATCTTTTATTGTATTTAATTGAATTTTAATTGTTGTAAGCCGCCCAGAGACCTTTGGGTAGAGTGGGTGGCATATAAGTTAAATAAATGAATAAAATAATAAAATAAATAAAGAAGCAGCTGAAAACACAAGACAAATTCTTGATTTTCCTTTACTCTTCTATTTTTTATTTTATTTTTTATTATTATGTATTTGACACTGTTTTTATTTTCTGATTTTATATTGTAAGCCACCTAGAGTGGACCGTTGGTCCAGATAGGCGGGATAAAAATCAATCAATCAAACAAACAAACAAATAAATAAAATAAACAAAAATGGTACCCTCCACAACTCACAAACACTGTCGCATATAAGTTAAATAAATAAAAAATAAAATAAATAAAGAAGCGGCTGAAAACACAAGACAAAAATGGTACCCTCCAGAACTCAAATGTTTCTAAGTCATGACTCTTTGTTCATCAGCCGTTTAGCAATGCCTGGCGTTTTTCTCCCTAATGTGCAGCTTTCACCTCTATAACTTTAAGTATTTCCCTGATGCTTCACCGTTACCTCATACATTAAAAAACAATTTAAAAAACCTTTTGTTTGGGCATTCTCATAAGAATTTGTAATGAGGCATATTGATGGCTTAGGAAAATATTTAAAAAATACTGGCCAGTAGAGATAGTCTAAGACACACTAGCAACAGGTGTAAAGAAGTCTACAGAACCAAAGATGGTACACAGCCATGTAGGAAACAAAGGTCCATAAAATGAGCAATTTAAATGGGTAGGTTCCCTGTTTAAATGGGTATTCCTTTGTACAGTATTTTCTTTCCCAGGAAGGTCTTTTGATATTCCTTTTTCAGGAGGTTTCCTTGAAATTCCTTTCTCAAGATTTCTCTTTGATATTGCTTCAGGATGAAGCCTTGTTTTATCATATCTTTGCTAAAGGTAGGGAAGCGATGCGTCTCTACGCTTCTCGGACAATGGCTATCTTTCCATGGTTTACTGAAGAACACTATATACTGCTTTTGGTATACATAAGAAATACATTGGCTGTCTTTATATAATTGCTAAATCCTTATATATATGGTTATATATCTGTGAAGATTCTCAGTTATCCAGGTGTGGTTATCTCGAAGTTGAGCTATGGCAACTGAACAACCTGCTTGGATGAGTAGCAAAATATTTCAGCCTAACACGAAAGAAGTCCAGTCGCCATGACTCAACTTCCAGAAATAGGGTTATATTTCAAAGTTGCAATGAGGGAGATCTCCACAATTCCAGCATTAGTTTTGAAATGTGTTATTTAACTGATACTTAGGGTTTGGATTAAAATTTGTATCTGTTATATAATACCAGTCAAAGACTCTGTTTTGAATTTTTGAATAATCATAATAATCTTAGAACTGCAGGGATCATCAAGCCCAGGCACAGTGGGGAATAAAATGTTGCAGTTAGGATTCCTAAACCACTGAGCTATCCAGCAGTTCCTTTATCCAGAAAAAGAACTGTACGTATTTTAAGAGTTAGTGGAGCGTTACACTAAGAAGTGCATAAGACGTTTAGAAAGAAAAGATCCTGTATTTTAGGCATTGCTTTTATCAGTTTAAACAAGCATCCTATACTTGTTTTGTTTCTTTTCGAAATGAGATAGTGCTTCAGTGGAAAAACATTAAATCACAGAGATATTTTTGTTTCAGTGACATTGTGTTACTGTTTTATAACAGTAAGAATAAAGTTAACACTAGAAGGGTAAGGTAAGAGTAAGATTTTTACAATGGAGCAAATCTTTTGTCATTAAGGTTGATCGCACCAGCTGTACACGATATGTCTCCCCATCAAAGACATACATAACTGGTTGGGAAATATTTTATCACCCATCTGTAAGAGTCACTACATTACTGGCAAAGATGAACTCATCTTGTATTCATCTAGAGATCTACGTATGATGGAAGGAAAAGCTTTTAAAGGGCAATATCCTTCTGTGACGATAACCTTTAGCTTAGCTATAAAGTAGGGATGGGCAAAGTAAGGCCCTCCAGATGTTATTGGGCTCAAGTTCCCAGGGTTCCTCACCACTGGCTAGGCTAGACAGAGCTGATGGACAGGGCAGTCCACTAGTATCTAAAGGGCTACATATTCCTCATTCCTGCTATACAGTATAGACTGGAACTGCAATAGAGATAACTGCTCACCATCAACTAAAAGAATAACAGGCCACAAAGATATGTCACGAAAATTCAAAATCTGCTTTTGGCTGAATTCTACAGAGCCCATGGTAATGCACATGTTGTTTCTCCCAGGGCTTAGGATCATCCCTGGGCTCCCGCATGCTTCCCCACAACCTTAAAAACCATACTTGAATGGTGACCACCTTAGCTGTGACTTAAGTTAAATATCTTAAATCTGGAAACTTTCATGCCAGAATGTATGATCAAGGAACATGAATCAGTTTAAAATCCTTGGGGGAAAACACTGCGCCAGTGTCATAACTGCTGAGCCATTTCCAAACTGAACACAGGAGACTTTCACTTATCACTAATTAATATATGGAGATATGCAGTATATTTTAATGTTTGCCTTGCTTAGAGCAATTGAAACTCACAGATAGGAACCATATGGTGTGACAACGGCAGACATAATGTGACATCTAGAACTATAACGCAGTATAATACTGCAAGCAATATTTTGTTGTACAATTAACATTCAGTGGACTGAGTTTTCGGCTGTGATTTATGGAACAAGAGCCTGCAACAGAATAGCAAATGAGTCAGACTTCTGGCATTTGACTGTGCCAAAAGCTATGCACCAAGAGAAGAAAATTAACAGGCGGATTAAGAAGAAAATGGGATAAAATGGAGGAAAACATTTTCAAACACAGAAGAAAACTTATAGGTGAAGAATATCACTGAATGTAGATTCTAATGGGAACAGTACATCTTAGCTAAATGTTTTGACTTAACTAGGCATATGTGACAACATTATAAGTGCTTGTGTCAGCAACAGGTTTTACTGGTGGGTCATCTGAATTTAAGACTAGTGGGCCAGGGCTCCAACAGCAGTACCCAAGATAGACTGCTAACAAGTCTGATGTTCCTAGGTTGAACCTGACCCACTCATTGCCCCCTTATATATTGTTTAGCTATTTAGCAATTGGGGGAAAGATGGTGTTTAACAGTGGTCAGATTTGGCTGGTGATCAGCCAGCTGTTGCATCTAATGATAATATGGTAGACTTTAGTAATCCTAGTTTGAAAATCATCCTATTTTACTAGTCAAGTTGACTGAATACTTCTACAGGGGAACAGTTCTTCCAAAAGGCTCTCATGGGTGGAGAGGCAGCCATACCATCCCTTCCCAGGCAAAAACAGAAGTACAGATTGTTCCTAGGGCTTGTGGAAGAGGTGGGGACACCTGCAGCCGTGAGCTATCTGCAGCTCCTGAACTCAACAGATGTGGCCCCTGGAGGTCTCCTGATGCACCACCTGCCAACACAGGCTCCCTGCCTGTGAAAGCAAATAACCACAAAGCTGTATATTTTTAGAAAAGAAGAATGCAATACTGCAAGGATCTTTTTATTGATTTCTATGTTTTACTGACTAGAGCAAGATTTCTTCGTCATAATTAAACACAGCTCAAAACTGAAGCTACTTGTTTTGGTTTTGAATCCTGATCTATTGGCAGCATGATTTATATAAATCAAGATAGATCACCAAGGTAGGTTGCAATTGATGTCATGAAGTAAAATAGCTCCTCTCTGAAAGGTTCAGAA